GGTTATTGTGACCGAAGTGCAGGACCCAAATGTTACAATGATAACATTTTGCATAACTTCTTTTACCTCTTGATTAATTATATTCCCAGTACTGAGTGTTGCCAAATGTTAGTAAACCATCTGGATGACAGAAAACTCTACAACAGACCTGCTTTGGTTTCCACATTAATGCCTGTTTACTGGAATATACCTGTATGGCAATGTCCTTCTGCTAACAAGCTCTCTAATCAATGAGGGTGTGTTTTTAGTCAACAGTACATAAGCAGTCATTTAGCTGCCCAACTTTCCAACAGCAATACTTGCATTATATTAACACTAGCACAAAAATTAAAAAAAGATATTATGAGGTATTCTCAGTGTGTCTCCTTATGGGACGCCCCACCCCCCCACTTGTAAATCTTGAATCTGCAAATATGTCAGTCCCCTGGAGAGCCCTCAGATAGCTGTGAATTTTGGCCCCACTGATTGGAAACAGTAGGAGATTCAGAGCTTGGAAATGAGGCTGCTTTTGGATGAGTCCAGGCTTAACAATTATATGGTAGATTAGGAACAACATCATAAACAATTTGCATTGTTCAGTAATACAAATAACATGCTCTCTTACAGATAAAAAGAAAATGACACTCCGATGCAGCAATGGCAGGCTGGCAGGAAATTTTGAAGGACTAGCACACCCCAGGAACACGAAGGCAATTACCAGGAAACAATGGGAACAGCATGGAGGAGTAGCTGCGTACTGTGTCTGTCTCCACGCCATTCAAATGTCATCAAACAAAGATAAGGGATTTGGTAGAACACGCTTGTTTAGCACATTCCACCTGCCCTTCATCCCAGACATGGCCCTATTAGTAATGGATATGCAAAGGATTGATCTTAGCAGGGCAAGACTTTTTTTAACACTGAAAAAAGCTGGAGTGCATTACACTCTTGGTTTAAAATTGGCTCAGTGTGGGGAAAAAACAACCTCCAAAGTAATTCTGAATTCTGTTTCCATATTTTATGTAAATCATAATTTCTGTATTTTTCTCCTATGGTAATACCTGCTCTTCCACTCCATAGGCAGGAAAAACTCAGGTTGTCTTACACCTATCAGTACTTGCAAAATGGAATCCTAGCTATTTATTTTAAAGAGTGTCCCCCCCCCTTTTTGTGGTTTTTTTTTTTTTTTTTTTTTGTTTTTTTTTTTTTTTGTTGTTGTTGTTTTGGTTTTTTTTTTACTTTTCACTCTAAAGTTTTGTTTGCTACTTTTTACAGGTGATTAGAAACAGTTGACAATTTTGACCTATGGGGAACAATGAGGCTTATAAGCAGTACCTAAAATTCCTTGAAAACAGTACCATTTAAGTTAAATGTATTTTGTCTGGCAGCATAGCCATGAACAATTTGAAACAAAAATACAAAAATTGGAAAATTTGAGAAAATACCTGCTTTATGAAACTTTTCCATTATCTCTTGACGAACTGATTTTTCCAAGTTGAAATAATCGTGGTCTTCATCAGGTTTTCTCAGAAACAGAGGGATATGCTGAAATACTATTATATGCTTGCATTTCTGTTTTTCAGCGACAGCCAGTTGCTCATTGAGCCACACATCCTGGGCTTGCTTTAACTCAGGGCATTTGGAAGAATCGAAGTATAACTGCGAATTCAACACAAGAAAGAAAACACCTCCAACCCAAAAGCTGAAGTAGTCATCTCCCCAGTTCTTGCAATAATTATCTATTGTTTCTGTTGTTGGAGTATTGCCAATGTCATGATTTCCGCTGACAAACACCAATGGTATGTCCTGGTCAGTGTTCTTCAGAACATTCTTTAAATCTTGCTCTTGGTCCTTTCTCCATTGAGTTCCTATAGAAAAAAACAAAGACATTTTGGTGTTTATGCTATCTTTTCCTACCCTCATTGTTAGCTTTTGTTTATGGAACTATGCATAGTAAGAAAATATTGTATATTAGATGTGATCATAATAATACGCAGGGATCTAGAATACATCTTCACTTTAATATTGTACGTCCACTCAACCCTTTTCCTCCCACTTCTTTCGCTCCCTTATCAAGTACTTGGTCGTTTTCAGTAACTTGCTTTAAGCAAGGCTCTGGATAGGAACTAACAGATAGCATAGCAGTAGGTGATATAATGGTCAGTGTTTTGCACCAAAAGCTTTAGCAGGCTGAGTCTTTTAATCTATAGAGTGATGGTGTGGCAAAAAAATGCAGCAACCTTGGATGGTGTAACAGCTTTACGTAAGGGTAAAAACCAGGTCAGCTTCTAGTTTACATTTTATGGCTGTGCAAAGGAATTAAGGTTGGGTTTTTTTTTTTCATTGCAAGAACTACTTTAACAGCAAAAATGTAATTAGTGTCTTGTGGCGACTTGTTTATATGAGAAGTCTGTTTTAATAATGAGCATGGCATTAATTTCAAAGAAAGGTAATTGTGTACTTTCCTAGTTTTTCTCGCACCTCTGTTTTAATATTAATATGCATACCCAGACTGTTACCCTTCTAGCTGTCAGCAATTTGTCTCTGTCCAGGAACATTTATCTAACTGCTAGATTAATTTACAATCACTGAAAAAAACATAGAAAGGATTTTTTAAAAAAAGCAGTTATTTTATTTTAATGATGACAGAATTTTTTCTAAGTTTTCTAGAGAGTAATCTTTAATCAGAGGCCATTGATATGTTTATTATGCATGAATTAAATCGAACATTTATAAATTGTATTTTCTCCTGCAATACATAACATATATCTAACATGGGCCCATTCCACAAATAATAACTGCATTTTTAAACCACAAAGTTGTAACAAGATTTTTACAAGAACTCTGAAATCAGATTTTTAACATACAGGTCTATGCAAATCAATCATCATGTATTTTCAAATTGTGTTCTATTTGTGTAACTACACATACATATTACACATAGAAATGTATTAGAGGGGCTCCTGTAATGTAACTGTGAGATAAAAGATTTTTTTCTCCATGTTCCTTCAAAATACTTATGATCAGTATGTTGACAAACACTGACTCTTAGTAACTATTATTAGTGAAGATTTCAATTCCTTTTCCATAACCTGTAGATACAGGCTTAAGTACCACCTTATTGCTGTTACTAGAATTCTACAGTTTTAGAAAAATTCTGGGGAAAAAAACCATATTCATATTATGTCTAAATGTAAAGACAGATGTGAGATTTCATACGTGGTGCATGAAGTCAAAATCCACAACTCTCCTGTGTTTAACTGCTGTATAGGGTAGAAGGTTATTGTAGCAAAGTCTTTTGAGTAACTTGAGAAATACTGGGCATTCGTCTAGAAAGTAGTGGACAGCAGATCAGTTTGTGGGGTATATTGCTGTACCAGGACAGTGGTTAGTTTAGGCTGTCCTTCCAGTTATGGAAAATACCCTTGTTAATCCTAGAAAAAACAGGGCACATGACATCTCACGTTACTTGGAGGAGCTGGATTGTAAAAAAATAAAACAAAAAATTTAAATAACCTGGCACACTTTGTTGTCCATTGGATAGGGAACCCAGCAGAGAAAGTTGCTTTCCCTGCCACTCCCCGCTTTCCTATGCAAAGAACTGGAAATTCCAAGCTATAAATATGAAAATGTCTGGGGGAGGGGGGCGGGGAAAGGGTGAGGGGGAAGGCTCTGTTAAGATATATGTAAACACATTACACCATGTTAATCTTCATGCTACCACTCTGGGAAATTTAGCTAACAGTTTCAGAGTATAAAGACATTTATGCATAAGTTACAGAAATAATTTGTAGAATTATGTATACCTCTTCCCAATGGTGAAATTCAAGCTCGAGAGACTAACACTTAGATTAGATTTGTCGACAGCAGGGCACTGGTTGCCTCATTTAATGCAATATTATTTCTATAGCAACAGAGAGACATATTCAGTGTTTTATTGCAGAAAACAGATTGCTCAAAATGGAAAACAAGGTCTCTGCCCAAAGAGGCTAGGAAATCAGACTAAGTAAAGATTATTTTAGGATGATTGTATCTTGGCTTGACCTTTTCTGGGTAGAAGGTCAAAATAACTTCAAAAGAAGAGAAACCCATGGAGATAAAGGTGGGAAAAAGCAGAGTAATGTCTCTGTACTCTTGGGGTGTAGTGCTGTAGAGGAAGGGCTAGGACGTACACACTAACCATGAGCTGTACTACAGTAGCATGCAGTATTTGTGCTACAATGAGCCACACCACTATGCAGTGCCCCCCTGAAGGCTCCTCCCTCCAAATGTACTGCTGAAGTAAGTAAGAGAGAAAGAAGATAAAGAAGAGATAAAGAAGTGATAAAGAAAAGGAAGTCACTAGAAAACTGCAGTGGTCACTGCCTTCGCATAAAAAATAATCCCTTTAATCTCTACCAGGCACAGAGCTAGCTATAATATTTAATTATTGCAATTATTACGAAGAACATTTTTATTTGATGACATGTATTTCTTTAGCTTAGATAGAGGTTTGTTGTAGACGAACAGGAAAAGAATATAATGCCAAGAGCCAATGTAAAAAAATAATTCAGGAAGTGTCAGGGTAGATGTAACTGAAATTAATTTCTGTTCTGTTTATCCTGGCATCAAGTGCAGTGACATTTTTAAATCTCAGGCTACAATATTCTGTCTTTATGTTAGGTTCTGTAAATACAGTCTTGCCTTGAGATAAATGACTTCACAAATTAATAGCCCATAAAGGGCAGTTTGGCTTTTATGAAAAACATGAAAGTGAGAACTGTTGCTAGTGTAGATGCCTACAATTTTCCGCAGCTTGCCAGTCTATCATTTTTTGAAAGCTGAGCGATGTGAACAGGAGCATAAAGGTGCAATGTCAACATCTCTGTTGCAGTTCATCTTTCTGTTGTATGTTACATCCCTATTTGCCTAAACACTTCCAGTATTCTTTGTTGGATTGCTTAAAGGAGTCAAGACAACCCTGCCTTCACTCACTGAAAGAGCAGATTTCAAGAAAGTACTTTTAAAGCATTTTTGCTGAAGCTGGCTTCAGTCAGCAGAAGTAGAATTCACAGATTATTCTGCCAAAGAAATAATCCTTCAGCCACTAATCCACAGTTACAGTTTACTTTGGTATTCCACAGAATAGAGCACCTCTATAACAAAGTGTTGCGTTTGGTTTTTTTAATGCACTAGCTATAAAAACAACTTGAAGCACTGTTTACCCCCAAACCATATCTCTTCAATGCATGCTGATAGCAATTTTGGCATGAGGCAACTCTTCACTTCCAGTAGCCTCCACCAACATTGTAATGTTTTCCCCAAAAGTATTCCAAATGAAAAATTGGCGATCAATTAACAATAGCACCCATTCTTCTACTGACAGGAATTAGGAGAGGGAAAGGAGGAGGTTATAATGGTATTATTAGGTGGTACCCCTAAACATTTCTGTGTTGGTGTTAGGAGAAGTCATCCAAGTACTCCCGCCCAAGGCAGGAGAAACCTGCCAGCCCCTGTGAGGGGACATGGGTGTGGTGGGAATGGCGGGGGTAGTGGCCTGAATATGCAATTCATGTCATTTTCCAAGAGATGGAAGATCTAGTGAGGTAATCAGACTTCTTGTAATGATCGAAGCTACTGGTCATAAATTCACAGAGAAAAAGACCGTCAGACGTCAAGTACTCAACATTACGTGATGATGCTGCATTTTAGAGAACTTTCTACTCTCCAAAGATCTTCTGAGAAGTCACTTTCAGGGATCTGGCTGGCACAAGCTGACTCAGCCGCAGGGCAGAACAGCTGCAGCTCAACCTGTGATACTGCTGTTGCTGCTCTTTCTAAACCTCCTTTTGGGGGTGGGTTTTCTCAGGAGCCAGAACAGTTGTTCTTGTTTACCTGTTCTGCAGATCTTGACACAGACAGTACTGCGTCATGGTTTGCTGCAGGAAAGGCTATAGACATTAAAAAAATGTGGCCCTAACACTTGACTTTAAAAGTTTGGCAGAGCCAGAGTACATATTTACATTTCCACTGATGCTGTGCATTAAGTTACGGTGGTCTCTGTCTCTGCAACATCTTCGCTCAGCTTCAGCTGAGGGCCAACACTGGCACTTTTAGGATGAAGCTACCCAAGATGTCTTTAGCCAATTTAACTACATATGAAAACGTAGCACAGTCATTTCCTGGATTTCCAAATTACTCGATCTCAGTATTTCAACGTATCTTAAAAGTGTCCCAAACTTAGAGGAGTTGCAAACACATAATTTTTAAAGGAAAGCACCAATTTTCAGTTTGAAAAAGAAGAAAGTTAAAAAGAAAATTGTTTAACTATGAGCTTTTATGTGAGCAACACTCTTGAAAAGCCCTGATATGACAACTGCAATCTGCCTAACATTTAACCCAAGAGACTGATTATCAAAGAATGGGTAGGAGCTAAATTGTAGATTAAAATACTATACAAAATATCAAACAGAAATAGTAACTAAATCTGATAAAAGCAAAATAAAAAATGCCAAAATACCACCGATGAAAATGGAATTTATGAAAACATTTGGCCCATTCCTTCTCTAATTTATTATGATATCAGGAGAATTACTCTGACATCAAAAGACAAGTATTCTTGTTGGAAGCAATCACACAATTGTTATAAACAAAAGACAGATTTATGTGTTTTCCTGGGCCTTACAGTGCATCACAATTGCTTTAATCAGAGAGTCTAATTATTTTGGGCACTTCCCTGTTCTTGAGATGTTTGCCCTTTTTTTTGGTTTTCATGACTGTCTGCAGTTGCTCTAGTCCTTTTGCATGCCAGTTAGAGGACTTTCCCTAGCAGTATTCCCTAACTTCCTAGAGAAGAGAAGAGGGAAGTCCAAGGCTGTATTTGACAGCA